ATTCTAAAGAACGAATGGTACACGGACCGGTATTAAACCTTTCTATCATGACAGAGACAAAACCAGACCAAGTTAGGGGTCAGATCTGTGGAGAGGCAACCCCGCTCAGTCAGAATGCCTGTTTTTCAAGGTATTTTGAGCTATAAAACCACCTGTAATTGGATAAATGTACTGTAGAGCTATTTAATGTCATACTGTGGAACATTCGAGGCAGAGCAATGACAAATCCACAGAAACAAGAAGGTCACGGACCACAACCAGAAAAGTTACACAATGCACCTTTAAGTGTCCAAAAAACAGTTCAAATTGCTTGAATAATGCATAATATAGGATCACTTCCTGTATTACATGACAACAGAAGGTAGACCAGAGTCTCAACTCGACCTGAATGTGCAGGCTCTGTGTGTTAAACATGTGTCAGTCAAACAAAACAACTCCACCTTTTGTTTTTCATGTGGAAACAACATTAGAACGTACATCAGAAAATACCACAATATAAGCCCTTTCAAGTGGTTCACATTCACAATATCAAATGTGTTACATCATTAGCTCACCACTCATCCCTCCACTACCTACGTTTAGTTCCAAATCAGCCAAAGCTGCGACACTGATTTCACTCAATGGCCCCACATAAACTGACAATTGGCTTTAATTCTGGATCTACAGGATCACAGGGGCCACTGTACAGAAGGCTGCTTTTCACTTGATTTTTTATTGCACACATTTTCTAATTCTTACATCTGTTACGCTGTCTTATGTTATTCTGGCTATTTCTCTTTACCTGTGCAAACACCTTCAAACTAGTGCCTCCATTCTTCACTTCTTTACAGATTTTTAAAGGTTCACCAAATCATTCAGATCTTGGGAAGTTAGCTTCAGTGAAGCTCATTGTTTCCTCACGCAAAGTCATGGCGTTTATAGGCCACGCATTCTTATTCATGGACATCAAACTCTCCAAAGCCTAACCCTGGAAAAGGCACGCTTCTTCTATCACAAGAGGGCGCTGTCTGCCAACTCAAAGGCCTGCTGCCTATGTGCCGTTTGCTTACTACTCTTGCGTTCTTCCAAGTCCGCTCTCCCTTCTTGTAATAGGCCCAGTTATTAGGCAATCAAAAGCACGAGGATATGTTTAGGCCACAGGAAGTCACCAAATTCACCTGCAGCCTGCCACACCCTGAGCAGACCGCTCCAAAAAACAGCCTGCTTTATCCTACACAAACAGAGTCCATTTCTTACTTTCTGTGTTTCCTTCCAAAAATAATGTTTTACCTATTCTCAAATGAAAACAAAGTGAAAGATGAGCTCAGATTTCTACATTCACATTTGCAGATGGTGACCTGTGCACAGATCCAACAGAAATAAGCTTTTGTTTTGCTCCTCCTCCTTGTTCAGGTCACAAACAGATCAGAATTCTGAATATTGTACAAGCCTCTAAAGCCACTGGACCTTCCACAGTTCTCACAGATGACCTGAAGGATATTGAAGTTGGTGCTGACCCAGTTAACAATAAGAAAATGACTACTTTAAAACAAATAACTACACTAGGCCTTATATTGAACAAAGTGTCCATGCTTTATTAGGGCTCCTGTCTGTCTTCTTGTTACACTGGGGTTAGTTCTGGTCTTACTGAATGGGCTCTTGCACCTTTGCTCGTGCACTGGACATCCAAATGATGGTTCATGTATATTGTGCACTGTCCCTGTCTCTTTAAATAAACTAATGTGTCTAGTGCTAACACCAGTGCTCTATAGAAGCAGTATGGCAGTAAGAAAACATATATGTGACAGTGGCATATCAGTGTTATGTAATGAAAAAATGTTGACATTTCTTTGAGAAATCTTCTCATGAGATGTATTTGATGATGATGATGATGGTGTAAACAAACAGTCTCCTTCATGACTTCATTGCTCTTCTGTTTTTACTCTAAGTCACTAGCCCTCCTCACAGATGCACTACACCAGACTTGGGACTAATACTGACTCTAGGCTTTATGTCTGTGCTTATAGGCTTATAGACTAGACTTTATGTCTGTGCCTCCTCTGCTGGCTCCTCCAGGACCTCAGGGACCTTGATCATCTTCAGCGCCACCTTCTGGTCAGTGGCGGGCTTGTGGCTCAAGGAGACCACTTTGAAGGCTCAGAGGCCAAGATCCTTCTTCACTTCGCTCTTCTTCATAATGCTCTGAGTTGGAGATGATGGTGTTACCCATGGCAACCAGGCCTCTACAGGCAGAGGAAAGGTTTAAAAGGCAAATATTATGAACACTGATATAAAGAGATGATCCTGTCACAGTTTGTTGATTGTAAGTGGAATGACTTCACATGGCCATTAATGTCCTGTTCAAATTGCACAGCTGTCAGAGCATGTACCATAGAGCCGGAGCCTCTAGCCTGTAGCTCAGGAGCCCCCATTTCTCTTGTAGTTTTCCCACAATTTCACTTTGTAAGTTTAGGCACAATGCCTTGAAATGCATCAAAGCCATGGGGCTGTCCTGGCCACAGCACTGTGTTCTACAGCGAGCTCAAACCTGGAATCATATCATTTTGACATGAGAAGCCCCCACACAGTATGGTTTTAACATTCTTTCACTTGTAAAACAGGATTGCATAGTTGGTCTAAATGTGCTCCACAGACACTGAAAAGTCATTTGCACCAATAAAAAATGAAAATGCTTATAACTTTGGCATAGAACCTAATAGAACCAAGATTCCAAACATATATTGTACAGGTCCACGAGCACAGCAAAAATGGCACTGATATCTCTTGTAGTTTTCCCACAAGTTAACTTTTTAAGTTTCGGCACTTGAACTCTCCATCTCCTTCTAAGCAGCTCACCAAAGGATTTCTTATATGTGTCAGTTTGATGCTTAACTTTGTGCCAGTAATGGTTTATGCTTTACAGGCATTTAACTGTACTCCATCTACAGCTCTCTGTGGCTCTTATATTTACGCCATTTCTTGTGACGGCTAAAATGAGTTGCTCTGGCAGTTTCATTTTGTAAAGGAGCTCACTGGAGGGAAAAGGCTGGAGACCCCTGTCAGGGCCTTTCTCCAGCAGCCACTGGATTCTCATTCACACACTTTTGACATTTGAACTCAACTAAATCAGGACTAGAACAGGACCAGTGTGAATGTGGACCTAATATCTTTACATTGCCTTCAGAGGAACTCAAATTATTTTGTTCTGGGAGTTGACGCTTGTCTGTGATTGGCTGAATTCACCTGCCACTCATTTAAAGCATGAAGGTGGTGACCAATAGTACAAGTGGGTGAGACAAAGTGGACTGAGAGTAGACTCCAACATTACTACTTTCCATAAAGTAGTGAAAGAACAAGACACATAATAATGCTCCAGTGTAAATCAAAGGAAACTTCAGTGTGTTGAACGTAGAACAAGGTCACCTGGTGCATATCCATCCACAGCCCGTGTACTGTACACATGTAGTTCACTGTTTGCACCTCAGAGTTTCTTTAAACAAGTCATAGTAACATGAAAATATGTGTGAAATAAAAGAAAGTACTTCAAATCTGAAGAAAAGCCTATTTCATAAATATACACTTGAGTGAACTGAGCGTGTTTCCATTATGCAAATTCTATGCAATATGTCATGGAACTAGCTCTATTAATTTGTTATGCTTACTGTGTATATATTGTTTATTTTCTTGAATCAATAATAATAATAATAATAATAATAATAATAATAATAATGTATGTTTTATATATGTGTGTAGAATCATTTACCTTCATGGAAGAATATATTTTTTAAATTACTTTATTTTTAGTCATACCTTTTTTTCTTTAATGTCCATAAATTCATTTGGTTGCAATTTTTGTTTAATAAGCAGGGGCAGACTGGCCATCTGTGTGTTCTGGAAAAGTCCAGAATGATCTACTGGCCATCAGCCGTGGTAACAGCAGAGGGCGCTAATACGATCATTTGCCTTTTTGTCAAGCATAAATTGCATAGGCCTAAAGTAGCAATAAGTGACAGTGTTAAGTGATATTAATATGCAAAATATATGTATAATGAAAACTGTGAACCATGCAATCTTGAAATTGAGTCATTCATTCATTTATTTTATTAATACATTTGGTGTGTGACGTAGAGTTTTTGTGTGAAATTGAAATACATTTTTAAAAATGAAATTTGATTTAAAAATATATTTTTTCAGCAGTGTGACAATGAGAGTAAAACTTAAAGAGGAGCTGTTTCTAAGGGGTATTAACTGTAACACATCACATATTTAGATCACCATGTTACCTTTTATTGTTTTAAGTTTGATTCTTTTAAGTTTCATATTTGTTTTTGACACTCTGAGTCTCTACTCACTTTGTTCTCACTCCCCTTCAGAGTATCACAACACAAGCAGTGTGCATCTGCTAATGAAACTACTGCACATCACATCACGTTTGTCAAGTGTACAGTTTTGTATTTTGTTTTTGTATGTTTATGGAGAATTGTCTGTTTAACTTAAAGCTCATAATACAGACCTTTAAACAAATGCATTCACGCACACTTAGTTAAATCAAAGTGTTTTGTTTTTTTATTAGAAAGTTGAAAAAACGGCAGTAGGTACATAGGACCTCTATTGTCTACGGAACGGACAGGTCTGGAACAAAATCGAAGCGAAATAGATTCCACAAAATACAAAAAACAAAAATAAATAAATAATAAAAATCATTACAATTACACATTTATGGAATATCGAAGCCATTTCTCTTGGGTTATTATTGCTGGAATATATTAAACGCATAATCTTTTAAAACAGACATTTGTCCAACCTTCAGCGGTCGTAAAACAATAAGAAAAAAAAAAATTTAAACTTGTTTTTTTTTTTTACATTATATGAGTTCAAAATCTTGGACATTCGATAAAAAGGAGCTGTGTTTTTTAATACATTTCTCAGTGAAATTGTAACAGATTTAACTGCTTTCCTTCAGGTGGACAAAAAAACTGCAAAAAGTTGCATTAAATGACTTGAATTCAAAATATTGATAAGTTTGGATATAATTGGATATTTTTCCTAATAGGGGCCATGTTACCACGATACTAACATTTGCTAAGGAATAGCCTCGATACTCAATACTAATTCTGATACCATGATGATTATAAAAACACAATTTAGACAATAGAATGTGATTTTCAACATTAAACAGTAGAACTTTCTTTTCTATTCCCATTTGGTCTTATATTTGTGTACTCCCTCAGTGGTCCAGGTAGGCTCCATAGTGGTCCATGGGTGTATACTTGTCTATGTGCTCTTATACTTGTTCTGATACAGCTCAAGATCATTCTAAAGCTACAAAATTTATCCAATTGTGTCATTTATCCAGCAAGTAACTACTCGAATAGTCTCATTACATACAATAAAAAGCCCAACCTTCCAAGTCACCGATACCCGACACAGCTCATTTTTCTGGATAGGTGCTGATATTCAGTATTGGTGCATCCCTAAAACTGTTTATTTATTTATTTATTTATCCAAACATTATGATATTATGTCATAGAATTCTTATTACATCTAATTAAAGGCCCAACCAGGACATCAGCTTAATCCTCTCATTCTTCTGCTGGAAGAAGTACTCCATTTTATTACTTAAGTAAAAGTACAGAGACCAGAGCAAAAAATACTCAAGTATAAGTTAAAGTGACACAAATCTTAAGTACTGAAGTATCTGTTTAAAAATGTACTTAAAAAATAAAAAGTATTTTGCACAGCTGTTGAAATGTAATACAGCTCCAAATGTAACAATTTTTATCAAGATTTGTGCTCAACAGAAACAACTGAATTAATGTTTTTTTCCTAGCCATTTTATTTGTATTTGTAAAACACAGATACCTGAAACTGTGCTACTTTTACAGTTGCACCACTATTCTTCAGTATCAGTGCCAATATTCAACACCAGTATCGGTATAGTTGCATCCCTAGAATCTACTCAAATCTTAATAAATATTCTGAATTCAAGTCATTTTAACACATTTTTACATTTGACTTTTGCAGTTTTTGACAAATAAGTTAAAACGTCAACAAGGACATTACAGTCTTTGTGCTTCAGTCCTGTACACGTGAAATGTCAAAGTTCTTTCGTCAAATTGTGAAAAAGATTTGACGCTTTTATTGGAGTGGCTTTGGGCTTGTTTAATCCTGAGGAGATCAGCTTTCCAGTTGCGATAGAGCCAAAAGTGAAACAACAACAACAACCAACGCGTTACCAGAAGGTTTTTAGTTCAGTTTTCATCCTCAAAGATGGAGCAGCAGCATCACAGTAAAATTGGAGTCTATATTCAAATCAGTTGCATTCATGTTTTTGAATTGAGTCATGACACAGCATCAGATGGAGGGCAGGGGGCGCTATACAGGAAGAGAGATCAAAACTGAAAATTCATAAATATTGAACCTAATACTTAAATATATTGTCTTATTATCCCAATGTGCTTGACAAGTAGCACCACTTTTTAAGCTACTGTGAAAAAATAATTTAACTTTATTTTTTGATTTGTGCTGATCGAGAAGAACTGTGAGCCCATTTTTGTTTTGTGTGGATTGGCCCGATAATTATGGAAATATTAACCATAAACCAGGTCAACAAATCTGCATTAAAAAAAAATCTTAAATAGCATATTCTGTGCTGTTTTTAAAGATGCACTGTGTAACTTTTCTGGTGGACGGGTGTGCAATCTGTTTGTCTCCATGGAGATGTTAACACTTTGCCTAGAATGTTCCACTGTAAGGCATTAATGTATTTACATGGAGGCAAGCAACTAATGCAACCAGGCCTAGACATTTCTTTAGGGATCAAAATGCAAGATATGTTTCAATGCCATATTGTGGAATATTCCAAACAATAACATCTCCATGGCGGCAACCAGAAAAGTTACACAGGACAGAGTTAACTTTGCCTGACCATCTAGTCCCTCCTACGATGTTGGGATTGGACCATAATGCACAACAAAAAAATGTCCTTACTTTGGACGGTCCAATCACAGCCGTTAATTTGTGTCACATGTCTCTCAAATGTGGAAGACATCTCCTTATGAACATTCTTGTATCATTCAAAACAAAATCTATAATTGATACTTTGCAGTCACGTCACCCTAGGGGTACTCTAAATGTATCTATATGATGGAATGTTCAGCAGTTACCATAGTGACACATTGCAAACACTGTTAAAAGTCTGAAGACCTGAAACGAAAGAAAAAAATACAAAATGGATTTAAACAGCACATTTTGTCTGAACAAAGAGTGACTGGAAAACTGTTGGCTAATGCTAGCTAGCTGTGACTGTAATTTTATTTGAGATGGACTCGATTAACAGCACAAATTATACAGACAGAGCATGCCTACAGTTAGCATCACACCTCCAGAGAATGTTGGCTGCAAAGTATCAATACTTTTTTACCTCAGTACCCCATGCGAAATCAGGGAGACAGGATACACTTCCAGACCCACTCATCTTTATAAAGTATTGTCAAAGCATACAGTTTTCAGTGGACAGATAATCATTCACTCATGTTGATATTTTGAGATCATCTTTGCAGTGTAGAACTTCGCTGCCCTCCATCTGAACTTTAATCCACGCTTTTCTTCCTCTTCTGACTCCACTCTTCACCTCTGTCCGTGCTCCGAGTGGGTCTTGGGTGGGTGTTAGGTGGGCTCTAGGCTCCCTGGTCCACACCTGTTCAGCCCTGGCTGCCACAGGAGGAGAGGCTGTCGTACAGGGAGTCACTCAAGGACTCGGGGGTCTCTAGGTTCTGGGGTCTGTTGGGTGATAGGGGGTCCAGGCCAGGTTGGTTCATCTCAGGGACACTTGGAGCACGACTCTTCCCCCGACGGCTCACTCCGCTCTGGGCAGGCACGGGCAGGCTGCCTGGGTCCACTGCACGACTGGAGGAAGGACCGCTGGGCTTCAGGTTCTGAAATAAACAGCAATATTAAGGTGAAAAATGTACACCATTGCTACAGCAATTAACAATTCAGAATAATATGAATGGTGAAAACTCCTAAAAATTGCACTTATAAACTGAAAGATAAACCCATGAGTAAGAAGAATATTAAAAGATGCACTCTGTAATTTGTCCATTTAAGGGTCTGTGACTTGCTTGTCTCATGGAATCAAGTGGATGGCACTACCTGGAAAAGTTACAGGGCAGATCTATGGAGAGGCCTACATAAAATAACAATGTATGTAATTTTGCACAATAATATTTGTAGTTAAATAAATGCAATACAGAAGTGTAATGCCATACTATGGAACATTCCAGGCAAAGCAATAACATCTCCTTGTAAACAAGCAAGTGAACACCAGAAAAGTCACACAGTTCACCCTGCCCAGTTTTATGTTATGTTTCACAAATATACTGGTATTTCATTTTACATAAACATATCAACATTTTAACTGAAATCATCTAATGTGATGCGACTGCTGCTGTGATACTGGGCTATAAATAAAACGATTGAATTTTGCAGATATTTCCAGTGTCCTTATGTAACGCCTCAGGTTCATCCATGTGTGAATCAGCTGATAAATTATTTGTAAAGTCAGAAAGTGTTTTTATTATGTAAGAGGCGAGAGCTGGTTTAAAAATGCATCGCTCTAAAAGCAACTTGGCCACGTGACCCCAGGCTTCAGTGTGAGCTGAAAATACTGCACTGGACAAAAGAACCTCTAAAGTTTCATCTTTGAACTGAGGACAGATCAGGTCTTTTTTTAACCCCTGTTAAGTAAAAACATTCAGGGAAGTTTATATTTTTGCACTGCTGCTGACAGAGAAGATGCTGAACTTTGTGTCAGTTTTTGTTTCATGTAGACAGACCCAGTAATTACATCAATATGCACCATAAACCAGGTCAACATGCATTTGCATAGTGACAATTCTTAGTCTGGACAAGTGGTGCTGTGAAAACAGCATTTTCAGTAGTCACTGAAACAGTGAGGACTTTATTTATTTATTATTTATTTGATTTTATTAAACACATAGAATTCTGACATGTGTACTCATACAAAACGACCACTTTTTCATATGGAGACATATAAGTAGTAGACCCACCGCTCTGTAGGGGGAGCTGTAGGGCAGAGGTTCCTCCTCCTCTTCCTCCACAGCCAGGTACACCTCGGCAGGACCGGCAGGAGCCTTCAGGTTTGGGAACGTCCATGTTTTAGTGCGTGGAGAAAACACACTGGCTCCTTCTTTATCTGAGTAGGAATACAAAAGAACTGTGATTAAGACCATGGTTTATGGTTTGACTTCAAAGAGCCCTGTAGAGCCCCCTTCTTATGCAGCTTAAAGCTGTACCTTCTCTGATGAGTCCAGCAGTCCTGCCCTCCTGCCCGTGCCCGTATGGAGCAGAGGGCATCAGGGCTTTGTGTGGGGCATAGCAATCGTCCTGTGATGGAGCCTCTCTCTCCAGAGTCCTGGACCTCCTGCCCGCTCGACCAGGAGAGGAGCCATGGTGAAGGCCTCTACCAGCCGCTCCACTGCTGCACTCAGGGAGAGGGAAGGTCCCTATGCCACTGTCCAGGGTGTATGTGGAAGCACCCGAGCCCGCTGAGAGAGGGAGAGGGGGGAGGATGGAGGAGAGAGGGAGAAGGGGAGAGGAGAGGGGAAGATTTACAGATTGTGGAGAAGGAGAGAAAGACAAAGAGAAATTTTATAAAATTAAAATCAAACACAGGAATGATGTCCATTTACACAAACAAAACCAAAGAACAAAATATTTCATAAGCTTCGTTAGCACTGGTTAAGACCTGTTCTAGTCCTGGTTTAGTCCTGGTCTAGTCCTGGTCTAGTCCTGGTCTAGTCCTGGTCTAGTCCTGGTCTAGTCCTGGTCTAGTCCCAGTTTGGTCCCTACTTTGATGAGGTGTGTGTGAACGCCACCTTAGGAAGTAAATGGATCAGGATTTCTTTGAGCTTATATTATCGAAACTCTTTGTCACCTGCAAAATGCTGGACTGAGTCGGCCAGATTCTCGTCAGATGTGACGTTTGCGATTCTCTCGGTTGCCTGAAAAACAAAGCACATATTTAAAACCATGAGAGAGGGATCAAATAATACTATTACTGTCTTCTTGTCTTCTGATAAAAATCACTTATCCTAACACTGTTTTTATATTAAAGCCCCAGTGTGTACCTTTTCCATGTCGTCTCTGCTGTGGAGGATGTCGCTGTGGAACATGGGTTTGGAGGTTTTACAGTCAAAGGAGAGACGACGCTGAGGCAGACACACCACCTCTTTACCGTCCACTCTGAATAAAGACAACAACATCAGCTTTTTAATATGACATATGGGTTTCAAACTTCACATTTACATATGCACGTGTCTTGCTCACACAGTGAATATGCAATGGCAGTACTCTGAAAATTCGAAGATCCTACATGGTGCAAAACTGACTCTTGTTATAGTCTATTATAATGCTGTTACCTCTTAAAAACATACCTGGATTTGTATTGTGTTTCATTCTCACACGAGTATCTGTCTACATCTCCAAAGCTCAAAATGTGCTGTTCCACCTAACAGCTGCCTTTTACATTTAGTTCAGTAAGGATGGGCATTTCCAAAGCTGAAATCACCGAAATGATTCTAGTGCGGGTGTATAGAGTTTAAAAATACAGTGGAGAAAGAATTCAGCCAAAATTTAGTTAAGTTTGTGTGTTAAATATTTGTGAGTGAAACAAAACACAACTCCAGGTAAGTTTGCGATAAGAAAACATTATAACATTAACATTAACTGCAATCCCCCTCTCACCTGTTGAGTAGTTGTTGCATGAAGTTGTCAGAGCGCCCCCCTCTGTACATGACAGCGAGTTGCCCCTGGCTCTGGTCCATCACCACTTCACACGAATGCCCCCTGCTCTGTCTCTCCACAAACTGCCTCTCCTCCTCTAGCGCCCTCCGCAGGCCCTCTGCTTTCTCCATGAGTGTCGAGATATTCAGCCCCTCCACGCCCTCTTTACACCGGCTCGCCACCTTCACAGAGTCCCTGCCCACGGACGGTATATTTATCTTCCATTCACGCTTCTCGTCTTTTGCTTTCACTCCGTCAGTTTTGCGACTTAACGCTGGTAGCTTGCTTTTTTTCAAACCGAACCAACTCGCAATGCCATTGGACGTTTTTTGTTTCACCTCTCCAATTTGCACAACTTTATCTTGCTCTTTTAACATATTCTCTTCGATTCCTTTCATAACTTTTTGCTCGATAGCAGATTGTGGACTTGTAGCTGGTTGCGCCGGCTTCTCGGGTTGGATTTCCACAGGTGGCTTCGGTGGAGGAGGCGGTAAGCTATCTCCAAATATGGGATTTTTCTTGCCTTTCCCGCTAATTTTTGTGCGTTCTTCCGATTTGGACGAATATCTGGGTGTTTCAGGTGGTTTGCTCATCCTCTGAACAGAACTCGGACATGGCTTTGATGGTGATTTGGGTGGGATTTTGTTTGGACTATTCGTCGTCTTCACATTGTAAGCCAAGTTCAATGATCCGGGACATTTTATATTATTGCGTAGAACTTGTGGTGCGTCTGTAATGGGCGAAGGAAGACCAATTTTGCTTTTCGAGCCATCCGATTTCGGTAACTCTTGCTTAGCGCCTCCTGCTGGTGATTGCTGAGATTTCACGCCTTGTTCGAACATTGGCATTGCATATTTTAAACCTCTTTCGTTAACTTTTTTCCCATCTGATTCTGCATATTTTGAGTACTTCTCCTCCTTTTGGATTTCGGTAGCTTGTTGCCTATCTACCGTCCTAACATTTCGCTCTTCAATAATTTCACCAAAACTCGCAGTCTCCACTTGTTTCATTCCAACTTGCAAATCCTCTGAACTCCTTAGCTTACCCAGTGCAGCTAAGCGCTCTTTAAACGCATGTTGGCTTGGATCTCCTTGCGATCTCACTGCTACTACGCTAGGTCTTTTAGGTATGGACGACGCTTCTGACCTTCTTGTTGGTGGAGGAGGCTGCGTTGTCATGGGAATCGCACCAGCAAACCCATCTTTTGCATCTTGCTTCTCAATCGGACGTGCAAAGTTGGCCGTTTGTGCTTTGAGGGCGGGTTGACAAACGGGTAAGCTTTGTTGATTGACCCAGACTGGACTATCTGAATCCTCGTCATCCGATGTGGTGTCCGTTGTAGAAGATGAGGACTGTTTACGCTCATTTGAGGCTTTTAAGACGGATTCTGGCAAAGATTTGACCAGCTTTCTTTCTCCTATGCTTGTTTTGATTTGTGGGATCGTCCTTTTCTCAACTTCGCTACCTTTCGCCACACTGGTCTGGATGTCGCAGATGTTCTCGTAATGTGGAATTGCTTGCGGAATTTTCAAAGGAGCAGGATTAGTAGTAGTAATAGTTGTAGTAGCAGCATTGGAAGAGGGAGCGACCATCTTTGCTTTAGCTGGACTTGCGTAATCTTTTTCGGGTAGAGTATCTTCGGATTGTGGTGGAGAGGTTGGAGCAGAGTGTGTAGCCGGATACGATTCCGATCTGGTTGGAGGAGGAGGAGGCTGCCTACACCTTTCTGTAGTAGTCGCTCTCCGTGTTGGTACCGGAGAATGGTAAACCTCGTAGTTATTTGTGCGACAGGGAATTCTGGAATTTCGGGTTAGCTGCGGGCTTAATCGGACCGCGGACGCATTTGGATTTGGTTGGCATTTTTCCGTGATGTTCGGAATCTTGAGGAATTTGAGGAGTTTGGACGGGGAGTTGATGGCAACCGTTTTGACATCGCTGAGGCAGGAGGAGCTGGGGCTGATGGAGGAGGAGGCACGGACAGAGGGGGGATCTGAGGTGTCTCTCTCTGGGATGAGGGGGGAGGAGTTGGGGTCAGACTCAGTAGAGGGGTGGGGAGAGGGGGAGAAACCAGTCAGCTCCTCTGGAACAGCCACTCCTGTGTCTGGGTCCTGGGGAAAGGTAAAGATAGCAGATTTAGTATAATATCTTTTTATTCTTCAGTTTTTCACACATGTAAAAACAATGAATGAAAAAGCAAATTAAGTCCATTATTCACCAATTTCTGTTGACCCTCGGGCTTGGTAAATTGGTCCAAATTACCATAAACAACACTTTATACTGTCATTTTCATAAATATACCTTCCATCCATGCAATATAAAACATTTGAGTGTATCCCATTGTGGTTCTAAGCCTGAATAAAGGTTTGGTAGCTCATAATTTCAGTGAGGCCCTTGATGAAAATAGCATTAGACATTAATAATATAATATATATAATAATATATATAAATATATACATAATTCAATAAGTCTGACATTTGTTTACAATAGCTACTGCAACTAATGCATTCAATAGCGGCATTTCTGTCATGCTTCAGGCAAAGGCAGCTGTTTCTTAACCTGGCACACACATGACTAATGTGTCTCACTCAGAACTGAGTTATGTACATTATCAATCTGGAGTGGAATGTTTAGATGAATAAGCTGATTGGCAGAAAAATCAAACTTGAGTTAAATTTAGTTCAGAGGTGTCTTTCCTCCTATAAATGCAAAAAATATCTGTTTCTGATCAAATAGGCTGAAGTAAGTATGCTGCTGGCCCTTTCGTTTGTTTTGGTTTGTGCGCACACCTTAACTACAAAAACTACCAAACTACAATGCCGCTCTGTGATTGGTCTGAAATGCTGGAGGCCAAGCCCAATCCTAACAGTGTGAATTCATTTTAAAGATGCAAAAAACCCAAGGCACTCATTGGTTAAAATAAATTGCCTTTATTAATTTACGGCATGTCTTAATGGGCAACTTATAAAGTCTCAAAGCGTTTCAGCCTGTGCCTTTCCTCAAGGGACAAAGTGTAAATTCATTATTGTGGCCAGGTTAAGGGATTTTGATTTTCTTCTCATTTAAAACTCATTATTTCAGGTGAGTTCTCGAAATAGTAATTGAAATTCCTCACATCATTTTGCCCCATTTAGAAGCCTGCTAAATAGATTACCTGAGTACCCTCCAGCTCCTCCTCTCTTTCCCCAGTCTCAGCCTCTTGCCCTGGGTCGCTCTGCTGCAGGTGTGCGTCAGTCTTGGAGCTCTGTTTGGAGGTGCCCACAGCCTCTGCTCTACTCTTCCCCACAGGGCCTTCACTGGATGAGGCTGTAGCCCCTCCCCCTACTCCTCCTCCTCTCTGTACATTCGTGGAAGCGCACACACTTTTACATGCTTTCGGGGGACTCTCTGGTGGGCTCCTCTTGCAGTGAGAGCAACACTTGATGCCCTCCTCAGATTGGGCGCCGTCCCCGTTGAGTTGTGGGTGCTCTGTCTCTGGGCGGGGGGAGCAGTGGCAGTGGGTATGGGTGTGGTGAGGTTTACACTGCAGAGAGTGAGGGTCTGCTGAGGCCAGGACAGCTTCTGTGAATGAGGAAAGGGTAATTGTGAGAAATTTACTTAAAGGTGCACTGCAGAACTTTTTTATTCCAGACAAAACAATAACATCTCCATGGAGACAAAAATTTTGACATATTAGACTATCAGAATTTGAACACTATATTGATCTGATATTATTTCACCCCTGATCCAGTCCTGGTTCAGTCCTAATCCAGCTCTTTAGTCCTGGTATAGTCCTGGTATTGTCCTGGTTTAGTCCTGGTTTAGTGCCAGTTTTGTCCCAACCTATATCTGAACTATCCACGGTTTCTGGTGTCACCTGTAGACTTTGAGTACTTGGCTGTAGTCACAGAAGGGCAGACTAATTCAGTCCTGGTTTAAACCTAGTTTAATCCTGGTTCAGTTCTGATTTAATCATGGTCCAGTCCCTTGTCTAGCCCTGATTTATACCTGATCCAGTCCTTGGTCTGGCTGTAGACTAATTCAGACCTGGTCTAATCTCTGGCCTATTCTTTGTTCAATCTAATTTAATCCGGGTTTAGCTCTGATCCAGTCATTGTCCAATCCTAGTCCTGGTTTATCTCCGGTCTCTGGTCTCACCTGTGGACTTGAGCACCTGGCTGTAATCGCAGAAGGACAGGCTGGTCGCCGAGGGGTGGAACTTGAGTGGGTCTGTCTCCTCCATCTTCCTCAGGACCTCCAGGATGTGGGCCTTCTTCTTAAAGAACGGAGAGAGAGCGTCCATGGAGGTGTGAGCGCTGCGAGCCGGAGAGGCGTGCTGAGGCCGGACAGCGTTAGCCTGAGAGGAGGCAAAAGAGGCTGTCAACATGAGAGATACAAAGTACAGAGGTACTGTGTCAAATGGACTTTTTGATGAGGCATCATTACAACATGGATATAAACCTCTAAAAACTTGACTGAAGTGATTTTATATGTCATCCATGCATGTTTGAGTAATCTAGCAATCTCTACCAGGCCCTATTCGCCTGGTAGAGATTGCTACTTTTTGCAAGTAGATTAGATAGATACTTTATTATCCAGAAGGAAATCTGTTTTTTAGCAGTACGTGCCTCAGCCCACAACCATATGTCCATGTTGCGGCATGACCATTTTTCTTAATTGTATCAAAGCAAGATATAAAACATTACACTACAACTTAACAAACTAGATATGATGTGCAGCAATTTTATTAGAGGAAAGCACACCAATATTTCTCTCAATGTTGTATCTGTCAGTTCAACATACACTATTTTGTGCTTTAAGTTGAAGCACTACTTTGTACTACTTATTATTTTGAAAAAAAATACTTTGTAGTCCCACAGGTGGTCGAGTGGCCAAAAGAGTGATCAATATAATGCAAAAGTCCTTTCCTGTTTAATCTGAAGTCATGAATGATGTGGAGACCTTTGGGTTTGTGCGCACAGGAAACAGACTGCAGCAGATTAGCAGCAGAGGAGCTTTTTAGAGAACAACAATGAAACCAGTCATATGTCAAAGTGCTTAATATAACTCTCTTTTAAAGGTTATACAGTATTCAAGACTTTTAAACTACTTTCGTACAACTTCGCTAAGGCTAAACTTGTCTGATCCCTGGGGCTTGCACACTGATGAGTCTTCAAAACTAGAATAGTACAACCCCCTTAAACTGACCTTGGCTTGTGCTTCTGTTTGTGCGGGCTCCTGCTTTGATTCATGGTGCTGAGGAGCAGTGAATTCTGGGAGAGGTCCAGTCTGAACCTGCAGAAAATGAACACAGGGAGGGTCAGGTCCAAAATAAGATCAGAGGTCATGGCAGGGAGGTCAGTATGGATCACACAGAACTACTGCATGTTTTATGTGGTAGCAGTGGATATATATATACCTAGTAGTATATATAGATAGTGAGTGGTTGGGGGTACATTAATTTTACCTGATAGTTAGTCGGGGTTGTTTTAAGATTAGTTTTATCTGATAATGGTTATATTAAATTATATTCTACCTGATAGTTAGTGGTGGGGTGGTTGGGCAGCTTCTGTTGGAACAGTTCACACAGAGCTCGGTTCTGTCTCTCCAAATCACAAACCAACATCTTCAGCTTAATACACTCCTCCCTCAGGTCCTGCACAAGAGAAAGTGTTTATATGTGTGTGTGTGTGTGTGTGTGTGTGTGTTTGTGTGTGTGCTGGGATGATGATCAACAAGGGAAACACAACAATCTATTTACACAAGGTTAAATGACCTGGAAGTGTGGGTTTTTGTCATTTCTATTATACATTATTCTGACTGATTAAAAGCACTTTATTGTGAAATTTACTCCATTAGCTGTCAAATTTTCTTACACCATTGAACTGTACAGTCTTTATTTTCAGTAGATGTTTTTGCTGCTCAGAGAAATACAGTTATTTGACAGTGTTACCTTCTGGTTGAGTAGAGCCTGTACCACGTGGTTGGCCACCTGTAATTACACACAGACGTTCTTCAGACTTTTCCTCAGGGACAAAAGTTTAATAAAGACTGAGATGATCTGACCTCATCCAGACAGCGCTCGTACGCCTCCCTCTGGCTCTCATTGGCCAACATCAGAGCTGAGTTCTCCGCCTGAAACAAAAAATACCATTATGGGGTTTAGAATAATGTTTTTTGAATTTTGAAACATAGACTGAAACAAATGTATACCGCTGACACAATAACTCTAAAGCAGGATTATTCCAAACATTTTCTAAATAGAATATTTAAATAAAAAAAAAAAACATGAGCTGCAATACATAGGGGAATGAAACACTCAATAGTAGTATGTATTTTTAATTGTGAGTTTTTATTTGACCCTCTACGTCTCAAACCTTATCGTAGTATAGAAAAATAACAAAAACATCTCCACAAGTACAAAGAGAAAGTACACATGATAAATAATGAACCCAAAAACTATTTTTCCATCCATTAAGTCAATATGGTAATAATAAAATATATGTGATCACTGCTTTTGGAACGTACCTTTAATATTGTACTATGCTATTGTATTAGCTCATATTAAAGCCAATTAAACATCAGGACTAATCTTTGTCTTTCATTAGGACTAAAAGAAAATGAGGTCTGAAAACTGCCTGGACATAAACGCTGGACTCTGACTTTGCTCATGTATTACTGTTACAGAGCTGATGTCACTGGGTTCCTGTTTGGTTCACGTCAGCCTGTGACAAAAGCACAGGACATAAAGTGCTGTAGACCTGTTTAAGCTGTATGTCTCTGTTGTGTTGTCTCACCTCGAGTTCCCTGAGTCGGTCCATGAGCTCGGAGCTGTTGTCCTCCAGGAAACTCTCCACATCGGCCTCTTCTCCTTCATCTGAGCCGAAGCCCTCCTCACTCACTCTCTGCTCCAGGGCATCTGACATAGCTCTCATCTGAAACAACAAACATGCAGGATCAGTACAGTAAAATGTACTACCATCACAACTGAACCTGTGCCAGAGCCTTAACCTACAGATAAGACACATACAAGTTTGTCTCATTGTCAGTATATGGACAGGCCATGCCTCATGCTCAGAACCACCAGATCAGAGAGTCATTTCAGGTTTAAACCAACTGGACTTCAGCATTGAAACTGGCAACCCAAACAAAAGACTCTCTTTCTGATTGGATAATCATCTTAAAGTAAAACATCAAATTATAACATAAATAACATGTCCCTCATGGCTAATGTTTTTGTAATTAAGAATAAATCAGTACTACAATAGTGATCAGTTAAAGTTATATTTGATGAACATGCACACCTCATATCTGGGGACACAGACAGATCATATTCATAGGAAATAAAATTTAAACATCTTAAATACATTAAAACACTAACCAATGACTAAAATAAAAAAGATTCCATTATCCTGCAGTGAAAGAGAGAGGGAAGCAGACTATGTTTATCTGTGTTGATCTGAATCATGTCATATGATCTCCTCAGAACCAGAACTCTGAACAACAGAGACTCAGGCACATTACAGCACTGACCTGTTTAAATGAGGGCACTTTGCTGATACAAAATAAATTAGAATCATCCACTTGGATATTACAGAAATATTTGTTTATTATCAAAGTGAGAAATGAGGTTTGTGTTTAGAGTTTGTATGTGTGCCCTGTCTGTCCATCCATGACCTTTGTGTATTAAACCTGAAGGTGAGTGACAGCAGCATTAGAGTACACGCAGCACATTCCAGAGTCAGGTGTGAATCTGAAACAGTCTCTACTCCACACACAGACATGTCCCCTTTAACCTTTTGTTTCAATGGAAATGATAGCAAAATGATAGATTCATACATTATTGTGCGAATATTCTATTCTAATATATAATATACTAATATTAGCAGTGAAACAAGGACACTGCAAGCTTCTATCCTTTGTCAGGTGAATAATACACCATAACCTTAAACCCTAACCATGTTCTTATATTGGTTTGTCTTCAACTACAGAAAGTCTTGTTGGACTAAAGACATGTGCTGCCCACCGATTAGTCGACTAGAAAGGGGAGCATGGCAAAAGCTCTAAAATCTATTCCATATCTCTGCATAGCAGAGCCAAACTGCACTTACAAGACTACACCTGCAGGGGAAGCTCATGCAAAAACTACTATTTATGCAAAAAATGTACTAGGAAACAATGTATTTATATAAAGACAAATTAAAGTTGTGAATCATAAGTCTAATCTGACATTTCAGATATAAATACCAAAGAACACCAAACCTTCAGCCCACTCACTCACTTCTCCTTTCTGCTGTTGTCCAATATCCCCTGATCTTTGAAATGAAACGATTAGTCAACAAATGCAAATATTGGTTGACTGCTTAATCGATTAAATTATTAACTTATTTAGATCATTTCAGAGCAAAAATTCTCTATTATCCTGCAGACATGATACAGCTCATGTCTTCAGTGTGGTGCAAGCTTTATTACAGCGTCTCTCTGTGTTTATCTGATACATTCTACATCCAGATTCAACACGAACGTCTCAAACTGACACAAAACACACAGAACAGAATGGAACAGAGGAGCCTAAGCTCTATAACAGAGGAGTTTAGACGCTCACTCCACTGACTCAGACTGGAGCGTGTCTGTCACATGGGGCAGGAGCCAGTATTTTGTATCTTTATGTGGCATGAGAAATATAGAAAAGGATACCCCACAAATGCTGAACCTAGGCCTTTCACATCCTCCAGAGTGTCCCTCTATGTCAGATGCCCTCCCATCCTCCTGACTTCCTGTAGTGTTAGACTGAGATGAGGGCAAGTCAAATCTCTGTAGATAATCTGCAGATGCTGTGGTGTGTCAGATGCTCCTGTTCTAATCAAATCGGTGTGTCAGATGCCCTCCCATCCTCCTGTATTCCTGTAGTGTTAGACTGAGATGGGATGAACTAGAGATGATTAACCTGTTAATCATCTCTAGTTCATCTGCAGATGTTGTGATGTGTCAGCTGCCCTCCCACATGTTTTGGTGTGGCTGGATAAATACAGCATGGATAGAAATTACCAGGGAAAACGTGTCCTTTCTTATTTCTTATCAAATGACTATAGAATTGATAGAGGAATACCGGCTCATGCTTCTACTGTCTGTAGTCTATGCTGTTATGTTATAGTAACCTGAAACCTCTGCACTGAGTCCTACTGTGTACAGGAGACTGCAGACAAACACAAAATCCATTGACCCTGTAATGGTAAGAGCACTGGGATAAGCCCTTCTCTCAATATTTCTCTGGTTCTCTAAATCCACTTATCTGATGGGATAGGACAATAGGATCAAACCTACACACTGTTGTTTCTGTTGTGTCCTTGAACAAGACACTTCCCACAGACTGCACTACACAAAGGTGTGATCAGGTGCGACAGGTGTGACAGGTGCAGGTCTGAGGAAGCCCTTAAAGAGGATGATCCGGACTCTGGACCAGGGCCATCCAGGATCTAGGAGAGAATCTGGACCTCAGACCTCAGCTGAACCAGGACAACAACAACCAACACAGAGAATGTTACAGACTCAGAGCAATGACATAAACACAGTTCATTCATTCCTGTCACTAAAGACATGATCAGAACGAAATCTGTGATTTTCCTTCTAATAACAATTATTATGACGCATCGGTGTTACACATAGGCCTGTCACACTTCACACACATTTTGAAGCACGACATATTGCTACAGGATATACTGTGATGAACAATAATATTGAAAGTACTTTATGTACTGACCCAATAACAGTTAAGTTGGATCATTCCAGTCCACCTTTATTTAAATAGACAGTACCATTAAAAGGCCTGAGCTGCAACACATAAACGAACAAATGAATGAATGAATGAACCAATAGTTAGCTATAGAAGAGATATTATTTATTTCTATTTACAGCAATTTCAACTAAAATAGCAAAACTCTCCCCAGTACTGTAAGGAAAAAGTACTCACAATAAATATCGAGACCCAAAATATATTGTTTCAGCTTTCATGTATTCAACGATAAGTCGATATTTATTGTGAGGTCTATTCAGAACAATTATTACAGTTTGGTGCAGTATTCATTCACTCCACACTCAGTGATGGTAAGCCCCTATTGTAGCGACAGCTGCCCTGGGGCAGACTGACAGAAGCCAGGCTCTGACAATGAAAAGGTGTGGATATTTTACCAGTAAAATAGAAAGAATACTGCTCCATCTGAGAGAGAGACACCAGGACGCTTACAGTCTAAACCACATCAGCACTCACAGTGTCCCGACTGTGCAGATATATATGCAGATATCAGATATTGTCAGTGGTGCGTTCAGGGACCTCGTGTTTTCTAGTACAACTTTAGAAACCCAAACCTCCGAGGACCTGAGGGCCGAGCAGGAAAATACAGAGAGAGAAACACGATCTGTTTACAGGAACTATATCGACCGGCTCTCAAAATGACCCAGCCCAAAGTGGAGGAGAGAGGGAGGGGAGAGGAGGAGAGAGGGAGGGGCAGAGGGAGAGACAGAGGACGAATGAAATGAAGAAAAGGGAGGGAGAGGAGTGGAGAAAGGAGAGAGAGGTAGGGGAGAGGAGAGAGGGGAGAGGAGAGGGAGAGAAGGAGAGAGAGAGTAGAAAGAGAGAGAGGAGAAGAGATGCAGAGTGAGAGAGAGAGAGAGAGAGAGAGAGATGAGGGGCGAGACAGAGAGACATTACCCAGTCAGATCTATAGTGGAGCCTGATCAATGTGGAGCATAAGAGTGGAAACGAGCTGCCCTCACTGACCTCCAGCACAGACTTCAACACAATAAATATGGATTCCCTTTAAAAAATGACGCATTTGGAAATGTTCAACTTTTCCAAAAAAACTAACTGCACTTCAAATAAAAGATGTAAGGGCACATGAAGTCAGCCAGTCAAGCAAGACAGACACAGATACAAGACAACCAAAATTAAATAATTAGCCTTGAAACTAACTGTACCATCTTAAATTCTTTAAAGGTACATTGTGTAAGTTTTCTAGCAGAAAATACTTTTCTCTATATAGATGGAGAGGCGACCCCGCTCACAGTCAGAACGCCTGTTTTTCAAGGTATTTTTGAGCTATAACACCACCTGTAATTGAAAAAAATGTAAGGGAGAGCTATTTAATCGGACAGTCCGGAATTTTGGACAAAGGACCTCATTTCCTAGTGAGCCAGAGTGTTGGAGATGTGTGGAAACACTTTTTAAAATATTCCATCCAGTCCTTGTATTTACAGAGGTCACTGGTGCTAGGCTAGCGAATGTCAACGCCATAGTTATCCTGCCACTAAAAACAGTCTTATCCACTCCACAAAAGACCCGAAGCGAATCTGTTATTATACCAGACTGTTAATATAAATGTATGTGTCAATAGAATAATTTTAGAAGTAAAACCAACGTTGCATTTGAAGGATTTATGTCTGAGCTGTTGCAGCTGCTGCCTGACAGAAAGCTTGGCAGCGGCGAACTGATATCACCTAGCACCTATGTTACCGGCAAGTAAAATTCCACTGTTGCTGAGAAAATAGTCCCTCAATATGCACCTATTCATGCGATGCAAGGTTAGTTTTATTTGAAACATTATTTTATCAACACAGACATTCACATGGATAGTCTGGTGTAATAACAGATTTTCTTCGGATGTTTTGTGGAGTGGCTGTCTGTTTTTAGTGGCAGGATAACTATGGCCATTGACATGCCCTAGCCTAGCACCAGTGACCTCTGCAAATACAAGGACTGGATGGAATATTTAAAAAAGTGTCTCCACATGTCTCCAACACTCCTACACCTAACTAACTAGCTAACTAGGAAATGGGGTCCTATGTCCAAAATTCCAGACTGTCCCTTTAATGTAAAACTGTGGAACATTCCAGGGAGAGCAACGGCATCTCCACCAGAAAAGTGGCAAAGTGTACTTTG